TGCGCCTCCAGCCCTCGCGCGGCAGCCACGTGCAGCGGCGTGGCCTCGTCCCCCGCGGCCAGGTTCACGGCGGCGCCCGCGTCCAGCAGCAGCTTGGCGCACCTGGGGACAGAGGCCGCCGGTCAGGATCAATCCACCGCCGCAGTCATGGTCCCGCCCGAGGCCCAGCACAGGTCCATAAGCACCGGCGGTTTGGCGGGGAGAGGTTCTGTAAGGCAGCCACCGGCACACAGCGCTAGCAGCAGCCAGGGCAGTGCCCAAGTCCCCCGCGCCCTACAGGGCACAGGTCTTGGCCTGGGTCGCATGTCAACGCCGGAGCGTTTCCAAAGCAAGGGGTTTTGGAAACTATCCCCAGGCACGCTTTGACCCACAGCACCTGGAGATGTAGTTCAGGCAGAGGTTTTGAGTTCACTCCAAAATCACATGTATACATGCAATGCACATACACATATGTACGCACATGTACCACACATACCACGCACACTCTGCATACATGTGTGCACATGTACATGCATACATGTGTGCGCATCCCACTAACATAACACACATGCACACAGACCACATACATGCACGCTCAGGCACACATATCACACACCCATGTTGCGTGCATGCACATGTGTGTCACGCACATGTAACATGCACACATCACACATACATGCACGTGCATGTGTGCATATGTATACATCACACATACGTGCATATCACAGTGCAGACATCTATTGCAGGCACATCATACTGCATGCATACATCACTATACACTTGTGCATACATGTTACATGTGCATACACACACATACATGTATCACACTTACCTATGTACACCCACGCCTGGAGTCTGCGTTAGTAATAAGAAAGCTGAACTGGGCAGCGACTCAATTCACAGGAGGCGCGGGCACCCTCGGGAGCCCCAGCACTGGCGCCCGGCCACACATGTGGGCTGGGAGGTGCTCTGCGGGCCGGCCACCCGGCCACCCCAGGCTTCTGCAAAACTGCTCTATTTTCTCGTCGCAAGTTCCCACCACAGACAGGACCTCCTTGCTTCTAGATCCTGAGCACCAGCCCCCTCCACAGGGCCTGGGAGCAGCCCACAGGATGGTCCCTGGGCAGCGGGATGGGCATGTATCCAGTGGCTCCAGGCCACCACTGACTTGGATACTGACCCTCAGCTCAGGGCCGTGCAGGCTTCCGATCACCACCTGCTCGCCCACGGTGCTGTTTTGTAAACGTGCCAGAAAGTGTCAGCTCCCTGACAGGCCCAGGAAGCTGTGGCAGGCGTAGGGAGAAGAGGCTGGCTCAGCAGGTGCTGGTGCCCACCTTGGAACGAGGCATCAGGCTCACAGATTCACAGGGCGGTGGAGACTGTGGTTTTCCTCAAAAGCAACAGGGCTTCCGGCTACTGAGCTGGGCTCAGGACTTTGGGCAGCACCCGTCCCCCCACCCCCGTCTCCTGCGCACGGAACTGGGTGTCTCCCTGGCGCTGTGAAGACGCCCATGCCAGGGCTGTGGGAACCAGAGCCACGCGTGAAAGGCAAGTGCTTCCTCCCAGCCACACAATCTGTCGACACGTGTGCACACACACAGACACACACAGGCATGCACACACATGCAACACACACACACATACATGTGCATGCACACGCCCCTGCCTGAGCCCCGCCTACCCACTGGCACCTACTCCAGGGACTCAGGTGTGGTACAGAGGTGCAGGGGCGCTGCTCCCTCCTCTGACAGCACGTTGGCCCTGGCGCCGAAGGCCAGCAGCAGCCGCACACAGTCGGGCCGGGCGTGCGCACAGGCCTCGTGCAGGGCAGCCTGGCCCCCGACCCGGGCGTCCAGCTCAGCACCCTGCAGAATCAGGTGGCGGGCGCAGTCCGTGTAGCCTCTGGCCGCCACGATGGTGAGGGGCGCCGTCTGCTTGGTCTTGGGGGTCAGCACCCAGAACCCTGGGGAGGCAGTGAGGGGACAGCGTGAGGGGCAGTGGCTGGTTGCCATCCAGGCTGGTGAGCGGTGCCCCTGCTGGCCAGCCAGCCAAACCTGCGCCTGCCCAAGCCAGGCGCAGGGCTCCTCCAGGCCTGATGAAGTTGGGACTATTGTTCATGCATGCACACGTGTGTATGTATGCATGCATGCATGTGATGTGTTATGTGTCTGATATACATGTGTATGCAGTGTGTAAGAATGTGGTATGTGTGTATGTATGTGATATATACAGGTAAGTGTGATATGCGTACTACACGTGTAACATGCATGCACATGCATATGCAGTGATATAAGCATGCATGTGATATACACCTGCACGTGGCATGCATGGGATATATACATATACGCATGTATTATGGTTGACACATTGTGTCAACCTGGGGAGTCTAGAGGTTTGGCTAAGTGACTCAGCAGGAAGCCAGGGTGCTTACTTTGTATCCATCCTGAGCCTGTGGAAGAGCAGGGCATGGAACTAGGTGAGCGCTGCAGCCCCCTGGCTGGGGGAAGCCTGCTTACAATGTAAGGGAGGGAAAGAGGCTGCTCACCGCCACTCCTCACTTTTGCTCTTGTTTCGGCTGTGTCCTGCGGCCATGAAGGCTTGCCCTCTGCCATGCGCCACTCTGCCTCGGAGCCAGCCAAGTATGGACTGAAACCTCCACAGACGGTGAGCTAAATAATCCTTTCCTTCCTTCATTGTGGGCGTTGGGTATTTTGTCTCAGCAAGGAGAGAAGAGTAACCAAGACAGCATGCATGTGTACATGTGTGGTGTGCACTGCGTGCATGTGCTATGTATGTGTACTATATGTACCTGAGCACATGTATGCAATGTGTGTACGTTATGTGCGATACATGTGCATACGTGTGTGTGCATTGTGTGTATACATGTGATTCTGGGGTGAACCCAGGATCTCTACCTGAGCTATATCCCCTGGTCTTCTATTCTTTAAGTCAGGGTCTTGTTAAATTGTCTAAGGGTCCAGGCTGGGCTCCAGCCTACAGTCCTGCCTTAGCATCCCAGCGTGCTGAGATTACAGGCAAGCACACAGTCCCCTGCCAGAACCACCTTTAGGGCAGTTTGTCAGTCTGTCACAAAACACAGCTTGTGTCGGGGATGTAGCTCAGTGGCACAGCACCTGCCTGGCAAGCACAAGGTCCTGAGTTCAATTCCTGGTACCAAAAAAGACCCACAGCTCATGTCAGAAAAAACAGTAGCTGCTCGAAAACCACATGCGCCGAGGAAGGTGCGTGGGCCCTGCTCCGGAGCCCGGGCGCATGGCTCCCCCGCCCTGGTGCGGACAGACGGCGATGCAGCATGGGCTTTAGGAGCCTCCTGGGCAGCAGGGCCTGGCCCGAGCAGGAGCGTGGCCGGGGACAGAGGGCCAGGGCACGTGGCTGGGCAGGCCGAGGCTGGCTGTTTTTGAGCTTCGGGTCCCTGGGCTTTGAGTCTCAGGTCAAGCACGTGCTGGTTTTGTGAGGGTTAGGGACGGTGATGCCACAGCGTGGGGCCCACAGGGTGCCTGCGGAGGTGCCCACTGCTTCACCAGGCAGGGTGTGGGTGGAGAGCACCTCTGCAAGGCTCCTCTGCACCCCAAGTGTTCCAGACTCTGACTCCCTGTGCCTGAGGGGGCTGAGGCGGCCTCCTAGGGCTCGGTCAAGGGGTCGGGCTGGGGAGGGCCGCTGGTCAGCACAGGTCTCAAGGTCACCTAGGAGGCACAGGAGCACTGTCACCAGAGAGCTGGTGGAGGGTGGAGGGGGATGCCCAGCATGTGCCAGACCCTGGGCTCGTCCCCAGTGCTGACCGAAAAAGATAATAAAAATAAAAGTTAAAAGCATTCTTTAACAAAGGAGTCCTGGCCGGGCGTGGTGGTGCACATCTGTAATCCCAGCACTTGGGAAGCTGAGGCGGGCCAGATTACCTCAAGTTCGAGGCCAGCCTGGGCTACATGGCAAGACTCTGGTCTGTTGGGGATGTTTATGTAAGTCCTGGTGCACACGTGTACAGCAGAATTTGCACACCCACTTTAAAACTCTGTAGACTCATGTTTACTGACATGGAAGCATGTTACATGAAGTCATCAGTTTATGAAGCTGCATGTATGCTGGCTGCCTCAGTGGTATGCACTAAATAAAACTGCCTGTAGAATATAATTTCATTATATGAAAGAAAACAGGTACGTGCCTGTAACTCTAGCACTTGGGAGGCTGAGGCGGGAGGATTGCTGTGAGTTCAAGGCCAGCCTAGGCTACATAATGAATTCAAAACTAACCTGAGGGGCTGGGGATTTAGCTCAGCGGCAAAGTGCCTGCCTGGCAAGCGCAAGGTCGTGAGTTCAGTTCCCAGTACCAGAGAAAAACCAAACCAAACCAAAACAAAACAAAACAAAACAAAACTAACCTGAACTACATAGCAAGACCCTGTCTCAAAAAGACAAAATAGGGCTGGGGCTATAGCTCAGTGACACAAATACC